ATGCAGACCACAGACGCAATGACCGATTCAGCGTGAGTCAAATAGGCAGCACTTCTTTTCCTTTCCAAAAAATAACTTTAACTTTAGCACCCTAGCCCTCAAGTTCATTTCCAGCTCTCGAGGTCACCTTGCTGCTTCGACGAAGCTGTGGTGCAGGCCTGCGGATACGGTTTATAGTTTGGGTTTTGGGTTTAGGGGTTTTGGGGGCTTAGGGTTTAGGGCCTTATTGGGTTAGTAGAAGGGTTCCTTTAAAGGGTTTGGGGTTTCCGAAAAGCAGGGTTCCTTTTCTTGGGGTCCTTATGATAACGATCCGTTCTTTTGGTCCATATAATAAGGATCCTGCAATTGCGTAGCTCCTAGTATTATTGTTGTTGCGAGTCTTGCGAGTGAGACTTTTCAGCGCACACGGTCCTCTGTGAAGTTTTGTTCGCTGCCGGAGTGGAGCTTCAAAATCGGGGCTTGCCGAGAAGAGTCTATAATCTTAGCATAAGTTAAGTTGGAAGTGCAAAACGAGCAGTCACAGCAGCCGGTAGCAACCAGCTAAGTAAGTAGTTGAGAACGCCACGCATCCAATCCCCTACTCCGCTCCATCAGTCAGCAGATATCCTAGTGGATCTACAACACGCGCAGGACACCGCCAGCCCCGAGCTCAAGAGCTTGCGTCAGCAAGTACAACGGCTTTCCTCGGATGTTCGGGTCAGCAAGGGCGGGTAGCTTATCGTTTCGGTTGGTGCAAATAATACTATTAGATTAGAATGATTAGAAAGCATATCGCGAAATCCTCCAGATCCGCAAAGTAGCTGTGCGAAATCTCCTCAGCTTGGGATCCGGCCCCAAATACATTCGGATTGGGTTTCGGAGCTGTTTTTATGTTACATGCAACATCTTCGGATTGGGTTCGGGGTTGTCTTATTCTACAATTTGGGATTGGGTTCGGAGTCGTTCCTCAAACACCTCAAACACTTTCGGATTGGATGCTGAGTGGTTTCATGTTATAATATCCCAAATACCTTCGGGTTGGGTTCCGAGTCGTTTCATGAAAATCACGCTCCACTTTCGGATTGGGTGCTGAGTGGCTCATGCTCTACCCCTTAAACTACCGGATTGGGTTCGGAGACGTTTCCTTCTACACTCCAAACACTTTCGGATTCGGTGCTGGGTGGCTTATGCAAGACCCCTAGGCCCTAGCAGTTTCGGATTGGGTTCGGAGTCGTTTCATTCTACATTTGGGATTGGGCGCGGGGTCGCTTGAGTTTGCACCTTGAATACTCACGGAGTGGCTTCGGGATCGTCTGGTTCTAAGCACGAAAACCTACAATAAACCACGACCCTGAATCTAAGCTACTGAACCTTTTGCAGCCCTCAGCCCGACAAAAAGTCAGTCGTAAACTCACATAACTATAAATCATAAGCATGGCAGACTACACCTCAAACCTGGAAGCCAGAAAGCTTGTGCGACCGTTGTTTGTAACTTCTGGGTGTCGTGACTTGCACACCGTGCAATCCTACATCAGTTGTAAATGACTTTTAAACTGGGTCTCGGGTTCGTGACTCCCTTCGGATGGCATTCTGGGGTTTTGGCTTAGATCCCTGTAGGTGGTCGTGACAATGTATGGTAGCGAGTACAGGAAGCTCCGAAGAAAGCAAGCACATTGCAGCGAAAGTATAATGTATCGGACAGAAAAGTGTCTTGTCGCATACAAGAAGCATAAGCAGCATTACATCGCAACGTAGTCCGACTTAGTCTTGCTATCCATGGCGGCAGCAGTCTACTTGGTTCTTACATGGATGAAAGGGTATTTAGTGTTGCTGGTGATTATAAAATGGAATATTTTATGTTAGTCCGTCTACGATTGGAACCCACTTCGGACCCGAAGGTTTCTGAACCCTGCCGTGTGGCATTGCGCTCAGGGGCCAATGCCACGCGCCAACATTTGCGAAGAGTCTTCGAGGCATCCAGAACCTGATTAATATTGGATAGGGAGATGGTTTCAGGGTGCTTCGAAAGACGTAGTGGCTACACTGAAGTCTGTGTTGGGCAGGCTGCTTGGATAGGAAAGGCAGAGGCAACGCTGGTGTACTTCTGGGATGCGATGCTGCTGGGTTCCACCATTGTGTATTGGAAGTAGAGCTTCACGGCCTTGGGCGCCACGTCAAACCGATCCTCTGCATCGCCTGTGCGTAGACTGCTTCGAAGGAGTATTGGCGTGGTCTTGCGGGGATTACAGTCACGGTTTTTGTTGAACTTACTTGCTTAGGCTCTAAATTAAAATCGTATGGCAGCTACCTACTGCTTCGGAGGGATTGAGAATGGAAGTCTTGCAAACAATCAATTGCCGCCAAACAACTCGCCAATCCTTGAGACCGTTGGATGTTATGTCCATTGAGAGTCAGCTCAACGAGGCCGGCTGACTCCATCTCCACAAGCATCTGTTTTATGGAGCATGGCTCCGAATCTTGAACCGTTCTGGAGCCGCCCGCGCCCGGCACTTCCAAGATAACGGTGTCCGACTCCGATGTCCACTCGCAAACAGTGAGATTCGGAATTGTGCCTGCATACATGATGAAGTCAGTCTTTGAATGACGTTTCTGCTCAGGGCTGATGATGCGCTCGGGTGCATCGGACCCTTTTTGTCAGGCGCTCAGCTACAGCAGCATTTCTAAACGAGCCCACCCAAGGCTCGACAAAACTTGAGTTGGCAGCCCATCTCATTCAGATGTAGATCGTCATTAGCATCACTTCAATAATCAGAGACCAAGGGCCCAGAAACTTGGGTTCGTAGCTTCTACAGTTCAGATGTTACTTCAGAGCATGCCAGCTTACAGGAACTAGGAGTCTAGGCAAAGCGACGGCGCTTCTGCTCAGTGGGCGAATGCTTCGCGATGTAGTTGACACGGACGGGATTGGTCTTCCACCTAAGGTCTCTTCAGCTTCTTTACTATCAGATTCTCCGGGGACATAACAGTAACAACATAATGCTGAGGGGACTACTCCTTGCGGGCTTCGGCGAAGGCCTCCTTCTTCGTGATATTCGGGTTTTCCTCTTCAAGCTTCTGCACGGAAGCCTTCACCGCCTTCCAATACTCTCCGACCATGTTGTCCCCCAGCTTCTTCTTCTTGCATGCCTACGAACATATAGGGTTTCTAGGGTTTATAGGGCTTAGGGTTTAGGGTTACGATGCTTAAAGTCCAGGGTATAGCTACTTACGTGTATGGGGTTTCTATAGGGTTTATAGGGCTTAGGGTTTAGGGTTACGATGCTTCAAGTCCAGGGTATGGCTACTTACGTGTATGGGGTTTCTATAGGGTTTATAGGGCTTAGGGCTTAGGGTTACGATGCTTCAAGTCCAGGGTATAGCTACTTACGTGTATGGGGGTTTTAGTGAAAACTGGAGTCCAGCTTGTCATCACGATCCTTTAGGCTAAGGCTGCTCTCGCTTGGACATTGCCAGAATAGCAGAAACCATAGCCGAACCCTGATTTAACCTCAAAGAATACTAGGAACGTAGCCGAAGCATAATCTAATCCCAAAGCCGACCCCAATATCAAAACCAGCCTTCTTAGCGGCGGCGGGCTTCTTCTTCAGGGTGGCCTTTTCTTTGGAGGGCTTCTCCTTGGACGCCTTCGGAACCACGGTTTCCTGGGAGTCTTCCGCATCCTCCTCATCCCATTCTAGGCCCTCTTCCTCTGCTTCCCCCAAGCTCTCTTCTTCGTCCTCACGCTGCTCGGATTCTTCCTCTTCCGGAGAAGCCGTGGTGGCCAGGGCCTTAGCCTTCGCTTTGCCCTTGGCACTTGCCTTTGCCTTTCCCTTCGCCTTGGGGCCTGGCTTTGCTTTGGGTTTTTTTGGTGCACCGACCCGGTCTTTCGCAGCCTCTACGCAGAAAGCTCTCAACCGTGCAAGGCCTGTTGTGTTGCTCGCCTCCTGTGCACTTGCTGTTGCAGTGCCCGTGGTTGCCTGCTTGTTCGGTGCCCCAGACCCAGCGGCTGCACTGCCTGTGGCTGGTCCCTGCTTGCTCGCTTGGGGTGTTGCTTTGGTGGTCAGGGCTCGGTTCAGTTCCGATTCTAAGTTTTTCCTTGCTGTTGGCGTCATGTTCCCCACTGTGTGCGCTGAGGTCATTGGCAGGCTGCCTCGACTCAGTGGGCTGGCGCTGGGGCTAGCGGCCTCAGCTTGATAGCAAAACCCTTCCTCAATGCAAAATCCGCTCCTCGTGATTCTGTCAGACAGTACACCAACAAAACCATATTCCTAAGTTCCCCACTGTCGCAGACGAAGCAGAAACATCAGGTAGTGGGCGTCCGGTTGGGGTAGGCGTTCTGGTCGCAGGGGACGAGCCGTCCATCATGTCATTGAGGTCCTGCAAAATCATGCAATAGTAGCCCGAGGTTTGTTTCTGTTTTCTCGTCTATTGTCTCATAACTAAGACTACATCCTTGCGGAAGCCGTGCTTGGACAGCAGCATCTGCAGCGGATCCATGGCCGCAGCGTCACACACAACTCTGTCACACGTCGACTTCGAAAGGCCTCTAGACCTACACTCCTTGAATCATGGAGGTCCAATGGCCACGCAAAGAAACAGGGTCTTCGCACGTTCGTGTGGCAGCACTAGCAAGTTGCACGGTACGACACTGCCCCGTTGCCATGCTATTCTATGCGATCCTTGCTTCAACGCTAGCTTAAACCTGGGGTACTCAGCTTTAGAATTTAGAACCCTTAGCAGCTACAATGATATAGTGTTCATACGTCATAATGATTGTTGCCGGCAGAGTGCACCCAGCTGCAAACCCTAGCAGAATCCAGCCTGACGCTTCGCGCATCAGCTTCGCCGCCTTCTCAGGCTTGAGAAAGACGCTCCGTCCGTGAGCGATCAAGAACTCGGTGGCGGAAAGTGCCACGGCACTGTGGGCAACCTCAGCTGTTGATAAGGGGCTATTCTTGATATGTTTCTTGATCGAGTGCAGAGGCTTCTTTCATGAATCATAGCACAGTCTGAAGTCTATGTCAAGAAGCGATGAAAAGCTTGTACATCTGTCCATCACACACATCCCTCTGCTCGCCATCTTGCTCTGCACTTTTGCAAACGAACAAACTCGCACCAGCGGCCCGTGCTGGGATTTTGTGTTCAATCTGATATCTGCTCGTGAGCTCATCCAAGCATGTTGGCTCACCCTCCCAGGTCAGTGGGCCCTCGGCCACCGGTGCCTGCTGGGTGCTCGCAGTGTTCGGGGCCTGGCTGGCCTGCATGTGGCGCGAAAACCTGAGCATGGCAAGGTCTGAGTTTAAGGATCGGGTAGGCTCTAGGGCTTGGGTATGACACACTGATTCTGCTTCAGGTTCAGGGTCCCTTTCAAGCAGACGGCTTCAGGGGTTCAAATCCTTTTGAGAATATGCTTTTTGGATTCAGAATCTTTTGTGGGTTTGGGGTGTTGGCAACAAAGGCTCTCCAGCTCCCAATGGATGCATACCTAGGGGCTGCTTGTCGAATGCTTCCATGAGCTCTTGCCACTGCATGCGATGCACTACATCCGCGTTGTACAGTGCCCGGATGGTTGGTGACAAGGAAAACCTATAGCGGTTCACACCCCGCTGAGAGTCATCAGTCGTAACCTCAACCATCTTGAAGCCATAATCAGCCGGATCCGGGCTGGCCACCAGGCCTGACACCTCGCTCTCGTAGCGGCGGAAGCCTGGCTCTTCAGCAAGGAGCTGAATGTCCCCGTTCTGCTTCCACGCCTCCGGGAAAGGGACTTGTTTCGGTTTGCGGTCTTCGGTTTTTAGCCTGGGGTTGAATGCTCAAGCTCTTCAATCCTTTAGCAAAGGTTTTCAGCTTCAACCTTGGAGTCTGTGGTTTCTTGGGTTTGGACTTTATCTTGAAGACTTGCGAGTTCATGCGGCTCCCTAGTCACTTAAGAAGCGCTCATGGCAAAAACCATCAGGGACCATATCCTACCCGTACAGCAACAAGAAATACTTGCAAGCTACAGCAGCAAGCCTGCAGAAGGTCCACAGCCAACACTTGCTCGCAGTACTGGCTGATGTCCAAATCATCCGTCAGGGAGAGGGAGCAAATTCGTGGCCGTTGCTCTGTGAGGTGGAATTTCATAACCGCCTTCTCCCAGTGTGCATCGTAAGTGGACAGATTCACAGTCCTGTACATCATTCTGCGGGGCAAGTTTGCGAAGCAACCTGCGAGGACCGCTTCCGCAAAGCCGGGTCCACTCAGGAGTTGAGCGGACTCTTGCGCATCCGAGAGGGCCCTGACGGAATGTTCAGGCACCCTAAACCCCTAAACCCGTAAGCCCTAAACTTCTCGGCCTACACCCCGAATCCCTACACCACAGTCCAAGCCCACCGCCCTCAAATCGTTCATGTTTTGTGAGAGCACGAGTTCGGGCTAAGGTCTTGATTTGGATGGTTTAGGGCGTTTAGGGTTTGGGGCTGGGGTTTAGGGGGCTTAAGGCTTAATTTACGGAGTGGGAAAGGGTTGGTAGATGGAATCCGAATCATCAAGCCATAGCAAACCTGATCAAGTTGTGGTTGTGCCCCAAGCCTCGAACCCTCAGAAGCTGACGGCACGGCGTCTTTCACTGCCATTGGCACGATGTAGTTTCTCTCGGGCTCGAAAGGAATGTTGCTCCGATTTCCCCTGCAACGGCTTGAGATTTGAATGTCCAGGATAAACTATGGCAGGCCAACAGTGGCAGAACACCTATAGTCAAACTCTTCATCATGATGCTGCTACACTAGCCCTGTCCTGTCTGTCATCAGTGGGCAGCGCCAAAAGAAGTTCTTCTCCGGCTCATTTTCATCCATCATCACCCAGGCTGGGAAGTTAATCGGGACGTTTTTGTTCGACGGGGGGCTTTCCATTCGAAAAGTGATGGCCTGCGAATAGAGCCCCTTCGTGTCGGCCTTGTCCTCGATGCGCCTCTCCAATCATTAGACAAGTGGCTTGAAAAGCTAGCTCCTAGCCGCGGCACCAATCTAACCTCCTAATCCTCCCCACCTCATGTCACCGCGCTGTCCGAGTCTCGCTGACTCCAAGAACGGTGCCACAACTACAGCCATGGTCATTAGAGGCTTTGAGGATAGGAACTTCTTCACCAAACCAATGTCGCGGTCCAAATCCTTGACCGTCAAGCGCCCGCTCTTGGTAAAGTCCACCAGGAGCACACACGGCGAGTCGTCCACGGAGCTCTTCGCCATGAACTGCAGGCAGGGATATTATGGTGACCGAGCGTTATATGTAGCAAGGGTTTAGGGTTTAGGGTAAATTTAGGCTTAGTACTCCAAGTGCGAGGGGTCCAAAAAACTATTTCAAACGGGGCTGAGCATGCGAGCTGGGGATTGGTCGTTTCTTAGTCCCTATAGTCCATAGTAATATACAGATCGATCCCGCACCCTCGGCTGACTATTGTGGCTGGCTTATGGCATCCGGCATTCAGGTTTGATGGTTCTTTCCCAGTTAACTAATTAATCATAAGGCTTGCAAGTAGAGGGCCCGGCTCTTGTGGCTCAGGGGTTTATTTAAGACTAGTGATGTTGCACTCCCTACGGTTTGATGAAGCTGGCAGTATTGCACTGGCATCATGGGGGGCTGTGTTTGGAGGCCTGCACCATTGTCGTGGCAAACACTCAAAGCAACGGTCTAGAGCATCTGGGACCTGGCGTTGAAGGCTAATCGCTCTGACTGTCCACTGGCCGGGTTGAAAGCTTGAACATAGGTGATGAATAGGGTTTAGGATTTGGGATTTAGGGTTTCAGGTTGAGGGTTTAGGGTTCTTAAAGATTATTATAGAGCAAGGAATGGCCTGCAACAAGGCACTCTCCAGCTCCTCAGTGGTCCCGCCCACAACCTTCAGCCACTTCTTCATGTAGCTAGACACAAAGGCGGCGCCAAGTGTGTTCCTGGAGCCACGGAATTGTTAGGGCTGGAAGTGGTGGAATCAGGAGCGATGACTCATGAATCTAAGTAGGCAAGGTGCTGCGCTTTCAAGTGCGTCACTTTGCTCAAGTGCCTCGCCCGATCGGTTTGCAAGAACCGGTCCAACATCTTCCCGATGTTGGATATGTCCGCCGCAAGTTTCAACGAATCCTGCTCGAATGCAAGCTTGCTTGCGTCGTCGGCCATTGCTGTCAGTCGGGCTTCTGCTGCATCCATGACGTTTGCATTGTTCGCGGAGCACAGGTGATCGTTCCACACCTGCGTGTGGGAGGGGCACCAGTTGGGGTGGGCGCCGTCAATGTGGGCCTGGATGTCGTCGTTGTAGTCCCTGAATCAGTGACACGTGTAGTTATTCCATGATTACGTGCCCGAAAAGCAACAATGGACTTGCTAACGCAGCTGGGCCACCCTTCGAGGATTTTCTGGCTCGCCGCCTTGACCTGCTCTGGCTTGAATAAGTTTGGTCGACTGTCCATCTCCTGGAGCACATGACCCAAGACAGCCATGATGTTGGTCTCGGTTTCCCACTTTGACAAAGTCAGCCTCACATTGCTGGACTTGCCAGCCCGTTTCTTCAAGGCGATCTTGTGCAGCAGCAAGACTCTCTCCATGAAGAGTTCCTGCTTCGTAGCGTTCATCTTGAGTACATCGTGCCACAATCCGTCTGTCTGTGGCATGCTCTCCCCCAAGAACCAACGAGTGCTCAGAAGAGTCTCTTTCGCGAAGGCTTCAGGGCAAGGACATGGCTCTGAGTATTGGGCTGAAGAATGAGAATGCACTGATTTAGCTTGTTACGGGCTTGTGCAACAGTAAGTCTTCCTGGGATCTACTTCGTCGTACTTTTGCATGCCCACCCCGGGCTCACAAAGTTGCGCCTGGCCTGAAGTGTCCTGCCTGTGCTGGTGCAGGTGAAGCTGGATCTGCTTCCAGACCACGTCACTGACTCCGACCTACAGCAACGGACGAGGGATGGGGATTGAATCGGACGGGTTTATCTTCCTGGGTCCTGGGCTCGTTCTGGCTAATTTACTAAAAACCTTAGAACTTGTTCGGCTATAAAAAGATATTAAATATCTTTTTATAGCCGAACAAGTTCTAAGGTTTTTAGTTTTAGGATTCGAGCGTTTAGGGTTGGGGCTGTAGTTTTAGCGACTTTCAAGTTAGGTCCCTGGACATTATAAAATCCGCGAGGGATGAAGGTTGATTTGTAAGGGTTTATTTTGTACGCTGGAAAAAGCTACAGGCCTTGAAGCCGTACATTGACATTGCAGTACTGGAATCGAGCCGGTACCGGGAGTTCGTAGCTGCGACCCCGTAGTGGTTGAACTCATCCACAGACTGGAGGAAGGCATCGCGGTACTCATTGGGGGTGGGGTCCGAGATCCTCTTGTCCTTAGTGTGTGAAATGCTTCGGGGTCTGGGGGCGTCTTTTCCAGTGTTCTGGTACATTGTCATCTGAACAATAATTGCTGTCGAGCAAGCAAGAATCTTTCAAGATGCTGTCCGCTCGAGCATGGAAGACCATGGTCTGCTGCAGCAAATTCTTCTTCTGCTTCTCTGCTTGCTGCTGAGAGAGCTGTAGGCGACGCCACATGTACTCTTCCTGCTTTGCTTGTCTGATGAAGACGCAGCCGATGGAGGCGGCTGTCTTGAACCACCTCAGGCTGTATGGATCAGTTATCGATTGAAAGACTGGGATAATTTCGATAGCTGAGAATCACCCCCGTGCTCAAATACCCGGCAGCAAGAGTTCTCGACCCACGCCGAGACAACTTTGTACTTTATATCAAAAGGTATGGTCTTGCAGAGCCTGAATTTCTAGCCGCATATTTATTTCTCGTGAGTTTTGCTTTCTCGACGTGTGTGGTATTATAACACAGGAGATGGGCCGGGCTGGGCTGCCTGCGGAGTGGCGGGGTGTGGTGGGGCGGGGCGGGGTGTTCTGGGCGAAGCCGGCTGGGGTGGGGTGGGACCGTGGCAGGTTTGGAAGGTGTGGGGCCCTTGGAAACCCTCACCAGTCCGCGCCTGCGCAGGAGACGACGGTTTGGAAGGTGTGGGGCCCTTGGAAACCCTCACCAGAGTGTTTTTGTGCAGGAGACGACGGTTTGGAAGATGCGGTGGTGTTGGAAACCCTCACCAGACTGTCCCTGCGCAGGAGACGACGGTTTGGAACAGGTAACCCTCTTCTGTAGCCTCACCAGCAGGTTGCTGGCAGGGTTTCGGAGATTCCCTTCTGTTCTGTCTCTACAATACAGAGTGCCGTCGCACCGGAGGACACGACGGTTTCATCCAAACCATCAACTCCCGGGCCTGGGGCGTCCGGGAGACGACGGTTTCATCCAAACCATCAACTCCCGGGCCTGGGGCGTCCGGGAGACGACGGTTTCATCCAAACCATCAACTCCCGGGCCTGGGGCGTCCGGGAGACGACGGTTTCATCCAAACCATCAACTCCCGGGCCTGGGGCGTCCGGGAGACGACGGTTTCATCCAAACCATTAACTCCCGGGCCTGGGGCGTCCGGGAGACGACGGTTTCATCCAAACCATCAACTCCCGGGCCTGGGGCGTCCGGGAGACGACGGTTTGATCCAAACCATCAACTTCCAGGCCTGGGGTATTCAGCAGGGGACCATGCTTGCATCCTAAACAATCCATGGATCCCTCATCTCTTTATCTTGCTACTTGGCCCAAGATGAAAGGTGATGGTTTGGATCAAACCATCACCTCCTGCCCTTTGTGGCATATTCTCGTTTTTTTTTGGAACTCAAAAACCATCATTTAAAAAAACACAGCATATCTGCCACAAAGGGCAGGAGGTGATGGTTTGATCCAAACCATCACCTTTCATCTTGGGCCAAGTAGCAAGATAAAGAGATGAGGGATCCATGGATTGTTTAGGATGCAAGCATGGTCCCCTGCTGAATACCCCAGGCCTGGGAGTTGATGGTTTGGATGAAACCGTCGTCTCCCGGGCCCAGGCCCGGGAGTTGATGGTTTGGATGAAACCGTCGTCTCCCGGCCCGGGGAGTTGATGGTTTGGATGAAACCGTCGTCTCCCAGGCCCGGGGAGTTGATGGTTTGGATGAAACCGTCGTCTCCCAGGCCCGGGGAGTTGATGGTTTGGATGAAACCGTCGTCTCCCAGGCCCGGGGAGTTGATGGTTTGGATGAAACCGTCGTCTCCCGGACGCCCCAGCCCCGGGAGTTGATGGTTTGGATGAAACCGTCGTGTCCTCCGGTGCGACGGCACTCTGTATTGTAGAGACAGAACAGAAGGGAATCTCCGAAACCCTGCCAGCAACCTGCTGGTGAGGCTACAGAAGAGGGTTTCTTCTTCCAAACCCTCGTCTCCTGCGCAGGGACGGTCTGGTGAGGGTTTTTAAGGGCCCCGCATCTTCCAAACCGTCGTCTCCTGCGCAGGGACGGTCTGGTGAGGGTTTCCAAAGGCCCCGCATCTTCCAAACCGTCGTCTCCTGCGCAGGCGCGGTCTGGTGAGGGTTTCCAAGGGCCCCACACCTTCCAAACCGTCGTCTCCTGCGCAGGGCCACTCCAGCCCCACCCGTGATGCTCATAATGCTCTTTTTTTCTTGAAGCATGGACCAAGATAACCAGCCCAGCACATACCCCCGCGAGCACGCCCACCCTTACCCACACACCCACAGACTTTTGTCCACTTGATAAGTCGAAAAGCAGAGATCAGACGAGTTTGTCTGACACCCTCATGATGCTCGGTTTTGAGGTGTACAGCATGCACCTGCATGTCACGTCGACCAAGTCACATAATTATCATTGTGTGGTGTCAAAAAACGTATTAGGCCAAAGATACCAGCCCAAACCTCCCCTCTGCCAGACCATGCTTTTGCTATACGAGCGGTGTAGAAAGTAGCGGGAGGGACAACAGCAGGGAATGATCATTATCATTTCTGATGAAGACCTCACATCGTCTAGAAGTATAGTCCGGTATAATGGGATCATTTCAGCACACGTACTTGCGCTTGGTATGCAAGATTTCAGCTTCGACACTTCCGAAGCATGTGACTCGCACAAAGCTTGTCTATGTCTACTTAGTATGTGCAAGTCGCACAGCTTTGGGTCCCGGAGTGTGGCACGCGGGAAGCTTCGTGGCAGGATGGGAGACAGCTGGCCAAGCCAACGGGGAAGGCTTGATCTGGATGTCGACAATAAAATAAAAGTAATTAGTCAATCTCTCAATCCGGGCATGCCGGTGTACCGCATTCCCGCAAGATCTAGTAACCACTAGTTGTTTCCACGTTCTAGCTAGCGGCGGCTAAAGGAATGTTTTCGTGCTTCTTTCAAACTTCAAGACTCCTCAAGACCTTTGATGTAAGACTGCTCTTTTGGCGATGTTGGCTGAAGATGGAGAGCTTAGAACTGCTTGGGTGCAAATTAAACGCATCGAGATTCTCTTGGGTCGGGAGATTTAAGACTTGAGGCCGTGGGGGTCGCCAAGGTTGGACAGCCTTGGGCTATGTTTGGGACTAGTAGTTGATTTGATCACAATTACCCCTTAGGTTCAAGACCTGGACCCCTAAATGCGGAACACACGAACGGTATGTATATGTTCTGAATCGTTCTTGGTGAATACAAGGGCCCTTACAGGGACAATTGCAAAGCAGTCCTTACAGGATATCGGGATGAGAAGTGCAAGTAGAAGCAGCACATCACGAGTCGTTTAAAAGCAAAACCCGGGAACTACATACGACTCGACGCTTTCGAACGGACCAACGGAGAGAGAGCGAGACAGAGACAGAGAGAGACACAGACAGGCGCGCACGTGTGGCCGTTTTCGGTCGTGCAAATCCTCCCAGATCGCTGCTTTTGCTGTTGCTGCTGCCGCTGCTGCTTGATGCTGTTTGGTATTCGGGGGTGCGGGGCTCCGGGCTTACTCGTAGGGAGGTGCAGGAAACCACCACAAGCCCAATGTCAAGTACGGAATTATATCCCGAATCTTAAAGCCCACATCCCTAATCATCTCGAATCCCAAATCCCGTATTCAGATCCCATATCCAAATCCCAACTCCGACACCCCGAATCCCCCCAAATCCCAAACCCTAAATCCCGTTCCAGTGCAAAACTCACCATCAGGATGTAAGTTCGGGTCGTACGGTTATGTGGGGGAGCCTACAGCCCTTGATGAAAGTGCTGCCAGTGTACTTTCGGAACTCAGCCTCGGTCTCGTCGTCCCACGTTTGCTTCAGCTCCAAGTACGAGTACAGCACGGCGAAGTAAAGAATCGACAATCTACCATGCCCCTTTGCTGGCCCTAGAGCCCCAAACTTTACAGGCTGTCCCAAGGAGGCTTCCTGCCACACCTTAACTTCGACGTTTTGCCTCCATCCTTCGAAACCTGTGGACCATATGCTGCTTGCGTGCACCTGCCACTCTTGCAGGACGGTGTAGCCGTCCTCGGGCTGGAAGAGCTGGAAGCTCAGCAGCGGGACTTCAAACACGGTGTGCTGGGTGTCTGCCTGGGCCATCCGGGAACAGGCTTCAAACTCAGGTTTGGAACTCCAAGGGGTCGGTATTTATGGGAGAAAGTTTTTGTTTGCGGACTTTTGCCATTGCAATTTCAAATTACATTCAGCTTCTATTGTATTGAGAAGAGTTCTACAAGTTTCCAGCTTTGCTAGACTCCTAGAGTTGGGGACAGACAACA